CACACACACACACACACACACACACACAAAGTACACCTCAAGACTGTGAGTGAAGTCCACATTGTGAGCAATACAGGACCCTTGTCTGAACTGTGCGTGCTTGTCCAGGGTTTATTGTGACACACAGTAAGCAACAGTCACTGCACTTGAAGTGTGGGATGGGCTCTGCTGTCACTGGTCCCAGTGTAAAAACAAAGGCAGAATGACCACCCTGTGAGTGTACATGGAAAGCCCACTTGGCTGAGATTCAGAGTGACAGTGGGGTCAGCATGGGGGGGTGACTCTATAATCAGCTTCAATTAAGGCCAAGGAGAGATGAGGCAATTCACTAACAACATGGGTGAGTCTAATTTAATTCTATTAAAAATATTATTTAGTCTGGTTGTGATTTACCATTTTGAACCATAAACATTTTTTTTACACATTTTCTTTATTGTGTTGTGTGTTTCTAAAAAGTTTCGGGAGACCTTCCAGCATCTTGCGCACTGTGAAAGAATGATTCATGTGGCCAGAGGGAGGTCTTTGTGGGTGGGCCATTAGACACAGAGACTATAGTGGAATTCAGCTGCTATCTACTGGAGATCCAATTACATGACCCTACTGTAAAGGTACTGCCTGCACCCATTATAAATCACCATAAACAAAGTATTGGCATTGCTTTGCATACCATCACAGCTCCACTGATGCTGGTAGAATCTATACATTTTTTATGTCATTGTATTTACATTGTATCCATTTGTGGAAAATGTTTTTACTTTTATCTATTTATATTTTGTTTAATTTTGCCTAACATGATTCCTAAGGACATGATGAGTGATGGTAAAATACACTTAAGAATATGATTTATGATTATGATTTCTAGTAGTTTTCCATTATTATAATCAAGTATTTTAGATTTTGCTGTTATTTGTAGTTGCATATAAATACATGTACACAGTCTAGCTTCATCAATGGTGCCTCTTCGTGTGTTTGCCTTCGGTTAGTTACGGCACAAATCACTACAAGTGTCTTTTTTTTGTCCAGCTTTTGCACATCAGCTAGCCGTGTTCTTTGAGCTAACATGCTCACAGCTATTACCCCAGGGCATGCTACGTCCATTCTCAGAGAACTGCTACCGTCAAGACTACATCCTCTCCAAACAGAATGTAGTCCCAAGGTGTGTGATAACAGAGGATGTGATGGGAATGCAGGGCCACTTGGACTTCTAAAGCCAGGTGTTAGCACTTCAGCTCACTGCCTCATCAATAATTGACAGAGGCAAACCAATCAGAACAATTTGCTCCCCACAGCGAAGTGCTAGAGCAGCCTAACACCAGTGAATCATTAATGAGGCAATTAGCTGAAATGGTTAGACGGTTAGCCCTCACTGGCAGCACTCCTGTGACTCTACTGTGACGGTCCTCCTCATACAAAAGCTGTGCATGATAGAGTAATGTACAGGCCAACACAAGCTGAGGGAGAAGATGAGTAGAATCACACAGCAGTGCCTGGATACAGAAGGTTGGAGTGTAACTTGCGTCAGTGATGCCAGCTCTCCATCTGTTGACCACTGCTCAGAGGGCCAATAACGGGAACAAACCCAATTGGCCATTACCATGGGAGATTGACCTTTATTGGTTGTTGTTACCATTGCACAGACCAAGCGAAGCTGTCTCCTGGGTGATTCAAGTGTGGGAGAGTCTTTATGGACAGGGATGAAATCGACCTCAGTGACATCACTCAAACACGGGGAAAGCAACAACTACAATAACAGCAAAGATGGAGTTTGGCTTTGAAGACCAGAGATCCTGGATTGTTGTTTGAGAGGAAAATCAAAGTCCCAAGGGAGCTGCTCACAAAGCCTCATCGATTAGCCATATTGGAACCATTTTATAGTTTATCGATGTTCCTCTGCCTGCACTCTCAGCCCTGGGTCCAGTACAGGCTCAATTAAACCAGCCACCTTGATCTCAGGAACAAACCATGTGAATACTACATACTGCATAGATTATTCCCAAACACACACTCAGTGTTGTTCACCCTCATCAAAAACAAATGTTTTTTTTTTTACTTTTGTTCAGGAAAAATGACCAAAGAAAAAATACGAGGCAAATATGATGAACTAACTACAGCCAGCCAATTGTGTCATGCTCACCTTTATTTTACTGGAATTCACCTTTAATATTTTAATTTAGTTAAATATTGATACAAACTCTAAGATCTGAGCTTTTTCTGGCATTTGAAAGAGGACATGTTCGAAATGTTTAAGAACCAGTGCTGTATGATAACCTTTTAGGAGTCACATACAGAAAGGGCCTAAGGGGTCTGCAGGTTTTCATGCCAAGCAAAAAAAAAAAAAAAAACTATGACAGTATATATACAGTATATGTTTACAGATAGTATACAATGATAAATTATAGTAATAAGAACATGGAATACTGTTGGAACTATGAGTTTTTATTTCCATGTTTGTATTTTATTTATTCCTTTTCCTTCCTGGGAACTGTTTTACCAGGGTATAATCTGAGTTTGATTGATGTTTGAGTTTCAAGTATTTTGTCTTTGAACTACAAATGTCAAGCATGTGCTTATGAAAGAACTACTGTTTACTGGTTTCACGCAAAGCACTTTTTATGTGCAACAGAGAAGGAAAAAAACCTTCTAGTACAGAGAAAAAAATAGCTTTTACCTGCCCCATTGTTTTCTCCCATTTTAAAACTCAATAACTTGGAAGGCCTGAAAAAGTCCCTCTTGTTTGGAAAATAATTTAGTATAACAACAGCAAGAAGTTCACACACAGCTTAGTTAATGCTTGTTATTTAAATTCCTTTAAATTGATTTGCATCATTGTGAACAGCAACCGGAAGAGATTGCAACCTTTAGGAGAATTATTACCTGGACTTAGTTTCAAAGAGCCGCTTTAACAGGTCTTCAAATCTGTCAAAAAAAGAGTCTTTAAATGGTTAGGATGATTTCATTCATACAATAAATGAATAAAAAGGGATCTTTTAATCTGTCTTTTCTTCATGCTTTCATTTAATATCAGTTCAATCACGAGTTGCTCTGGGACTGTACTAACATTTTACTACACTTATCTCAAAACAATACTGGAGTCATTATTCATTTTCATTAAATTGGTTGGGGTCATTCTGTCTGTTTGGAAAGTTCAAAAGCTTGTCAGGAAATTTAAACCTGATTATTTGGTTTTATTAAGTTAAGGAGAAAATGAAATAAACATTAAAGATTATTTTCTTAAATCCATATTTAAATACAGAAAGGGACTTTTGAGATTTCTACCTATATCTTTTGCGTATATGCCCTGAAAATTATTGCTTTTGACAAAGAAGTGTAAAAGCAATTGATTAAAGACTGGGTCAGTCTGTGCTGCTGATATTGACACTTTTGCAGATATTGTAGACAGCTAGTCTCTGTTTAATGATTGCTATTCACTTTTATGGCCCTCTCAGGATGTCATCCTCAACAAATATTTGCAAACAGGAAATTTGCAGTATGACTTGAGAGAGTAATAACCCTGGTACCTATGTGTTTTGAGATTAACATGTAATTAAAATAGTAAATCAATATTTATTAAGCAGTAGTACAAAACACATAATAAATGTAGCCAGGTCATATAATGAGTCACAGGGTAGTGGTTGTGCCCTTCCAAGTTGCATTCTCCACTGCAAATATTTAGCTGTGAAAACAACTTAGAAAGCTAGAAAATAGCTTTGAAATGAATTAGGCATGCTGTAAATTACTAGAAAGACACAGACACCCATGCCCTGCACAAATGGAAGTGCTTCTGCAGGTGCAAATTCTCACCTCAGCCTGAGACCCCTTCCTTTCCAAACCACACTTTTTAAATGTGGAGTCTATACTTTTTTCACTTCCACACCACAGCTTTTCCCCACAGTTATCACTTTAAGATTTTCATGCTCTCAGTAGATACAACGACAGACAAAAAAAAGCACCTGAAAGCAATCCACCACTTACAGCACTGACGACAAAGCACAGAGTAAAGCAGCAGCACAGGCCACTGTCCATACTTTCCAGCGTGTACTGGAATATGAAAGGGAGATGTTAAAAGCTTAATGGACTGCTGCTCTTATTGTTTAAAAATTGCTCAACATATAAATGGCTGAATAAAGAAAGACCAACCATCACGGGTTGGCCTCAATTATGCATTGAAAATAAAGTTATGAGCTAGTGTTTGAATTATTGATGCTGGCACCGGGAACAAGAGCATGTTGGCAATGTGTCACTGGTTTTTTGCTGATGCTTCATGTTGTATTGATAATTTTTCATCTAAAAAGCCCATGAAGTCTTGATCTGTGAAAGATGGAAAAACACACCATGAATATTGGAAATCTAATGCAATATTACTGGAAGAGGGAAACATATAGCATACCGTCGAGTAACATAATGAAAACTAAAAATAATAAAAAGGTAATGTAGTTTAGAGCCATAGCTTGCACAGTGTAATCTCTAAAAATCGTATAGTTTTTTCCAGTAAAAGAATTGAAACAATCGACCACATTCAGTGTTTGGTAC